TATATATATATATATATATATATATATATATATATATATATATATATATATATATATACATACATACACACACACAAACACACTCATTTTATTAGGTACACCTGTCCAACTAATCGTTAAAGCAAATGTCTAATCAGCCAATCACATGGCAGCAGCTCAATGCATTTAGCCATGTAGACATGTTCAAGGCGATCTGCTGCAGTTCAAACCGAGCATCAGAATGAGGAAGAAAGGTGATTTAAGTGACTTTTTAACATGGCATGGTGGTTGGTGCCCGACAAGCTGGTCTAAGTATTTCAGAAACTGCTGATCTTCTGGGATTTTCACGCACAATCATTGGAGTTTACAGAGAATGGTCTGAAAAAGAGAATATCCAGTGAGCGGCAGTTCTGTGGGCGCAAATGCCTTGTTGATGTCAGAGGTCAGAGGAGAATGGCCAGACTGGTTCCAGCTGATAGAAAGGCAACAGTAACTCAAATTAACACTCATTACAACTGAGGTCTGCAGAAGAGCATCTCTGATCACATCCAGCCTTGAGGCAGATGGGCTACAGCAGCAGAAGACTACACTGGGTGCCACTCCTGTCAGCTAAGAACAGGAAACTGAGGCTACAATTGGCACATGTTCGCCAAAATAGACAATAGAAGATTGGAGAAATGTTGCCTGGTCTGACGAGTCTCCATTTCTACTCCGACATTCAGATGGTAGGGTCCAGAATTTGGCCTCAACAACATGAAAGCATGGATCCATCCTGCCTTGTATCAACACTTCAGGGTGGTGTTGGCTACAGCCTACCTTTGTACTGGTTTCTTGAACACGATAATGGGTTCACTGTACTCAAATGGCCTCCACAGTCACCAGATCACAATCCAATAAAGCACCTTTGGGATGTGGTGGAACGGGAGATTCTCATCATGGATGTGCAGCCGACAAATCTGCAGCAACTGCGTGATGCTATATGGAGCAAAATCTCTGAGGAGTATCTTGTTGAAGCTATGCTACGAAGGATTAAGGTAGTTCCGAAGGCAAAAGAGGGTCCAACCCGGTACTAGTAAGGTGTACCTAATAAAGTGGCCGGTGAGTGTACAATTTCACAAATAATT